AGTTCAGTGGCCGCGTTGGCTGGCTCATGTGGCGGGCTCGGTGTCACCAGGTCGGTGGCCGCGGTGGCTGGTGGGCTGGCCACCACCGATTGCACCAGGTCAGGGTCAGTGGCCACCATGTCCAGCTCATCGTGGCCATCAGTGGCTACCGGCTCGGTGCTCTCTGTTCTCACGGTGCCAAGCTCACGGTCACTGTCACCATCATCATCATCGCCATCACTCCCAGGGCCGCCCTGGGGCTCCCCGTTGCCCGGTGCCACGTTGTCCCCCCCAGGCCCATCGGGCTGGGGGTCCCCGGGCTCCCCGGAGCAGAGGCCAGGGGGCTGCAGGATGCTGCTGCTCGCCGCCGGCTCCGTGCCAGGCCCCTCTCCCGGTGCTGCCATGCCAGAATCATCCTTCGCTGCCGGCTCCTCCTTGACACCCGGCATCGCCGCAGTCTCCTCCAGGAGCTCGGGGGGCTCTGGTGAGGGAGACCCCCCCAGGACAGGGTCAGGCTCCCACGGGACATCGGGCTCCAGGGCTGAGGCCTCCTCCAGCTCCAAGGAGGAGGAGGAGGAGGAGGAGGTGAGGAAGGTCTCGCCGTCCGGCTCCATGCTGCCTTCTTCGGAGGGTGCCGGAGGAGTCTCGCTGCCATCCCGCTCCCGTGTCCCCGGCTCCGTCTGCTCTGCACCGAGGTCCTCCCCACCGGCCACCACGCTCACTGGTTCCTCGCCACGGCGGTGCCGGGGGGACCCGTCCGGTGAGGGAGAGCCAACCGGGGCCGTCCCGGCATGAAGGTGGAGCTCGATGCCGCCATCCTCAGAGGCCTCGGTGCTGGGGGGAGCGGTGGCAGTGCCGGGGGTCCCCCCCTCGGCCCCCATGGCGTGGCGCTCGGTGCCGTAGAGCCGCTCGTCCTCCTCGCCGTCATAGGCAGCCGAGTCGGAGGAAGCGGAGGTGTCGTCGCGGAAGGCGAAGGACTCGTCCACCCCCTCGGTGATGGAGGTCTCGGACAGCGAGTGCAAGAAGGAGGCCGAGGTGCTGCCGCCGCCCTCCTCCTCCTCCTCTTCTTCCTCCTCTTCATCCTCTTCCTCGCCAGAGAGGGTCACGGGGGCCACGCCGGCGGGCAGCGGGGCGATCTCCACCGCCTCGGCCTGGAAGAGCAGGCTGCCGCGGAAGGGCAGCAGCGCTGCCGGGATCAGGCCCGCGCCGGGCAGCCCCTCGGCCCCCGACACCTCCCATTCCTCCTCATCCTCCTCCGGCGTCTGCCCATCATCATCCTCATCATCATCCTCTGGCGGGGCGAAGGGTCCATCCTCCTCCTCGTCTTCATCCTCCTCAGGAGATGGCGGGGTGAAGGCAGGGGGATCCTCCAGGCAGGTGGGCAGCGCCGCCATGGTTTCGACCTCCACCATGCCTTCGGCCTCAGCTTCGGCCACCAGGTTGGGGGAGCAGGACGGGGAGGTGCTGGCGGTGCCGGAGGAGCCCCAGCTGCCCCCCTCAGCCGTCATGTAGGAACCGGAGGGGGAGGTGGGCGGGGAGCAGAGCCCCTCGCTCTCCCCGTCCGTCTGCTCCTCGGGGGGGGCCGGCAGCCGGGGCCCCCCGACCCGG